TCCTTCAGTGTCTCCATGCTACCTCTAAGATAAAATAGAAACTCCTTGTAATCTGGCTTAATTGAGGGCTCTCTACATAATCTGGCTTCAATTCAAGACTCCAAGCTTCCACAAGCATCCACCCTGGCACCAGCACTACTTTGGTATACTTTACAGAGAAACTAGACTACCATCTGTCCCCAAACTCTTTTTGTACAAGCTGTCCTCTATGACTAGAACCTGGCTCCCTACTCTGCCCATAACTCTTACTGTCTTTTGCTTTGATACCCCCTTCCCCACCCTATCTCATGCAGATACTCAATTTGTTTGCACTACACCTGCAGAATGCAATGTTGCCATTTCCAGGGCATCACCTGGCACAAGGTCACTTAAAATCAATTAGGTCTGGTGTTGTGTTGCCCTTTTTGGCCAATAATAACCATGAACCAAGGGTGTCCAGGAAATCTTGGAACCATCTCAGTTCCTAGAGACTCAAGAGTAAGACCAGAAAGCAGGATTTACTTGATGTGATCTCCACACGGTATCACATCCTTCCACTACAAAGGAAATGCAGAGTTTCTTTCATCCTGGGTAATGTCCTAGACCAGGAGTCTCCTGATCAAGAACACATTCTGTGTGTCACCAAGGAGGTTTCACCCCTGCAGTAGCTTTCCATCCTCGGAGAGGAAGGACCTACAAACAGGTCAGATGACATTAACAGAGCATCTCCCTAAATGTAGACCTGTATGCAGCTAAAGGGCTTTTTACAAATATTTGCATTATCATGGATTAATCCCTCCTACTTTTTTCTTGCACCCTTTCTGAATACACTACCAGAAATTTCATTTCAACTACTTACCCAGAGAGCAATTTGACCCATGTTTACTATGGGCCAGGCTTCTCTTTAGCAATAGGGAGACTAAAGAGGGCATTACAGGGCACTGGGGACAATCCATGCAAAGTTGGGGTGTTGTGTATGAAGAATTCTGGCAGTTTAACTGGACTAGACAATGTGTGGTATGCATGAAGAGGCAAAAAGGTAGAATACGCCCAGGCTATAAAGAGCTCAAAACACTAGAGAGATTTACATTTGAGCCTGAATGATCCTACATATAAAAGATAGCCCCTAGAATTTACTGAGTAGGAAGGGGATGATGTGACCTATGTTTTAAGAAAAGTTACTTTGGCAACTGGGTGGAAGATGGGTTGGAATGAGGAGAGTTGGGGATGGGGGGATTAGGCTACTAGACTACTACAGCAATCCAGGAGAGAGGTAATCAAGGCCTAAACTAGGGTAGTGGCAAAAGAAAAAAAGGAGATGTAGCAAGGGTAGAAATGACAAGACCTAGCTAGGGATTAGAGATATGAAGTGTTGAGGATTACACTGAGGTGGGCTAACACCCACTGGGGGTGGCTGGAAGGATGGTTATGCTTCCAATGATAAAAGGGCGAGGTGTGGACATGAAGGCTGATATCATAAGCTTACAGAAGACCAGCTACTACTAAAGATGCCAGGTCCTCACAAATTAGGAGAGGCCTCTGGTTGCGTGATTCAGTAGCATATACCAATCAAATAAAGACCTGGTAGTGATATAGACCTGTGTAGTCAAACTCAAATAGAAACAGAGGCCATAAACCATCCCTGAGGATCCTTGTAGGTGCAATTTGACTTAGAAAACCACATATTAACATTTATTATGTTATTTATATTTATATCTATTTTGTTAAATATTTCCCATTTGCATTTTAATCTACTACAAGCAGCACTTAGGAGTGTCATGAGCAGCATGTTTGGCACCTCTGGGATAGAGGTAAGACTGTCAGCATTAGAGAAAAGTTGAATTTCCAAAGCATTCAAGGTTTAGACTCTGAACCCTGGATTAACACAAATCTCTTCCCCCATGTATTCGATAAAGACCTGATGGTAATTTATATATTGAAGGCAAATGGCAACTACAAGGCACTTTGCATAAAGTGTTAGTCTTGGGAGGCAAGAGTTCAAATCCAGCAGCCACATAGTAGCTGTGTTTCCTTGGGCTCACTCTGGGCCTCACTTTCCTCATCTGTAAAATGGGGATAACAAAGCACCTGTCTCATAGGGGGTGTGGTGAAGATGAGATAATAACTATAGGCAATAAACAGAAATCCTGTCACAAAAGTACAAATTGAGATAAGTACCTTGGTAGGATGGAGATGACAATGTCTTGGTAGATCTGAATTTTCCCTTTCCCCTGAGGCTGCCTCATTATTATTAGTTATCACACAATAGTAATACAGATTCTTCCTCTCCCCTCATTTTACAGAGGGGGAAAGTGAGGCCCAGTAATACACTAGTAACCCAGATATGACTCTCCCATCTAGTGCCTCTTTCCATTATTTTGTATTGTTCCCAGAAAAGCAAAGTTTCAAGAAGCAGTATGTTTTCTATTAAGGTAAGAACTTATGTTGTATTTAGGGCAGCTGAGATTTCAGTTTCTCAACTATCCTAGGATTACTCTGTAATGTCTAGTAGCTTCAGGGCTGCAAACCCTACCAGGAAGACAAGATAAATGAGCACTGGCTTGAGTCAAAAGAACTGGGTGACCTTGTGAGAGACAGCCTCTTTGGACCTCCATTCCTCATTTGTAAAGTAAGAGATTGAACTAAATTTCCTAGGCCGAGCCAATGCCCCAGGTCCAAATCTACCCTCCTATATAAACCCCATCTGCTCTAAGACAAATCAACTTGGAAAATTATGTTAATTCTGTGACTTCTAAATGCTACTGGCCAATCCAGTTCCTTCCTGGTTTTCCAGAGCCAAGGCAAGTCATTTGTAAGTTTAGAAAAAAAAATCTTTTCACTTCTGGCCTAGCTGTATTTTCTGATACCTGAAGAGAACTCAATGAGATGCTCCAGAATTCCCAGGTCACATCTAGGCACCAAATGGCAGCAAAGTCCTGAATTGCATTCCAACAAACCCAGAGCTTTCTCTCCTCCAGTTCTGAGAGCACCAGAGGCAAGTTAGTAATTTAAAAAGTTCAAAGGACCTGATTAGAAGCTCATCCCTTCTGTGGGAAAAATGAGATGTTAAAGCACTATTGGCAGAGTTTTGAACGATTCAACCATTCTATAGAGCAATTTGGAACTATGCCCAAAGGGCTATAAAACCATTTAACCTAACAATACCACTACAAGGTCTGTATCCCCGAAGGGATAAAAAACAGGAAAAGGACCTATGCGTACAAAAATATTTATAGCAGCTCTTTTCTGGTGTCAAAGAATTGGAAATTGAGGTTATGCCCATAAATTAGGGAATGACTGAACAAACTGTGGTATTCGATTATGATGGATTATTGTACTGTAAGAAATGATGAGGATGCTCTTAGAAAAACCTGGAAAGACTTAAATTAGCTGATGCAAAGTGAAATGTACTGTGTACAAAGTAACAGCAATGCTGTAAAATGATCAGCTATGAATGATTTAGTTATTCTCAGCAACACAATGATCCAAGACAACTCTGAAGGATTTACGATGAAAAATGCTATCCAATCCCAGAGAAAAAACTAATGTGTCTGAATACACTGAAGCATACTTTTTTATATTTTGAGGGTTTTTTTGTCTGTTTTCTTTCACAACCTGACTAATATGGAAACGTTTTGCATGACTACACACGTATAACCTATATCAAACTGCTTGTCTTCTCAATGAAAAGAGGAGGAAGGGAGAGAATCTGGAACTCAAAAGTTTTAAAAAGTAATGTTAAAATGTTGTTTTTACATGTAACTGGGGGGAAATTGAATTTAAAAAATGTTTTTTTTAAAGAAGCTCATCTCTTCTGCTCTGGGCCTACATGATAGCTAATGACAATCCCAGGCACTGGTTTACACACTTTTTCTCATTCATTCCAACCTTCTGCAATCTGGCTTCTAATTTCTCAGTTTCTGATGGTTAATTTTCATTCATTTCTTTCTTCACCTTTCTGTAACATCTCCAGGTTACTCCTTCTCAGTTTCATATGGATCATTCACTTCCCACTCCTAATTATGGGTGTATAGCTTAGGGCTCTATTGTGGGCCTCCTTTCTTCCTCTCTACACTCTATATGATCTTACCAGCTCCTACAGTTTCCATAATCTCTATGATGATTCACATTTACTACCCATTTGGTCTTTGATAACTCACATAAACATTCTTGAGTTCAATTTATCTCTAATGTGTGTGTGGGTGTGTATTGGACTAAATAACTTCTGAAAGCATTTCAGCTCCTTGATCTTATGATTCCGAAATCTATATATCTAAACCTAGACTGTTTTCTTAGACATAATCCAACAGGATGTCCCACTAACATGCAACTGACAAAATTCATTATTTCCACTCACTCTTCCACCCCCTGCACAACCTGAGTCATTCAGAACTGCCCACTCACTCTCACCCAACATATCAGTAGAAACTTGTGGTTTCTATCTCCACATTTCTGGTATAAATCTTCTTTATAATGACACAAAAAAATCAGCACATCTCTTAAGCCTGAACTACAGCAACAGCTTTCTCCTTCTAATCTGTCCTTCTGATTCTAGCCTCTCCTTTTCCCAATCTAGCTTCGAATTAATATTTTTAACACACGAGTCTGACCAAGCCACTTTCCCCTCAAGAATCTGCCCTGGCTCTGTATTTCCTCCAGGATAAAATAAACTTACACTGGCACCTGACGCCTTTTACATTCTGGCTCTTGCCTATCTTTTGGCCCTTTCTCCTACCACTCCCTACCCCCCCTTTACAGACACATTATTCCTCTTTTTCCTACAATCCACTTTGTGGCCAAAATTGGATTCTCCAGAACTTAGCATCCCATCTTCTAACTCCCTGCCCATTGTCCCATGCCCGGATTCTAGTCTCACCTCATCTCCACCTCTATAAAGACTTCCTCCAAATTTCAGCTCACTGTTAGCCTAGTTCTCTCCCTCCTCAAATTATCCTGTATATACTTAATCTGATTACTTGTTGCCATTTCCTTCAAAGAATGCAATCTCCTTGAGAATGTTTCTTTTGCCTCTTTATCCTTAGCGCCTAGCATGGTGCCTTGCTCATGTAGCAGGGGCTTAATAAACGCCAGTTAGACTGGTTTAGTAGTTTACAGGGATAGGATAGAAAACCTTTCTAGGCACCAATCAGAGCTTTCCCTCACCCCTCCCTTATTGCATTAGTAACTCCCGAAACCCCTCCCCGATTCAAGGCTCCTTTCTAAGGCTCGCAGGAGGAAACCAGATTTTCCCAAACGGATCATCTTCCCAACCCTGACACGCCCAGGTGCGTAGAGCTCCTACTTCAGAAAGGACACCAGGCTCCAAGAGGGTCATGAATTTCCCCACTCATTTCTCCCTCGGGCATCGAGGCCCACGGAAGCCTGGCTCCCCATAACCCTTCCCGGTGCCCTGGACTACCACGGGTATCGGCCAGCACGGGCCTCCTCACTTTCTCGGCAGCTCCGGGCTCCCCGACAGTATCTGGGAGGCTGCGGGCGGTCCCAGGTTACCCACCGCCCCTTTCCCTTCTCTCCCTTTTACTCCACTCCTGGCATTTAGTCGCGGGGCTCAGCTGGCAACCTCCCCGTGCCCGGGGGCTCTCCTCCAGGCAGGTGGGGCACGAGCCACCAACACAAAGAGACCTGGGATAGGAGGTTCGTTCCCACTCGCAGCCAACATCCCTCCCGAAAGGAAACCCTTCCCCCCACCCTTGGGGTTCACAAGGGGCTGCTGCAGCTTTCACTTTCAGCCTTAGGGACAACTCTGGGGGTTCTTAGGCTCCTGCGAAGCGGCCACAGGACGCCCCAGCACCCCAAGGGGAGAGGAGGAAGGGGGGAGGGGACGTCTGGCTGTGCTGGTTGTTTTGCTCCCACAACAGAGCAACCTTTATCATGCCTCTGCACGCTGCAGCTGCGCTCGGGCCTCGCGGGGGCCACCGCACTCACCCCGTTGTCCCGAACGCCGACATCCTACCGCTTCCCCAGGGGCCCCTCCCCAAATTCGGGGGCCTCAGAGTGAAATAAGTCCTAACCGACTGGGAAAGATAAAAATGCGCCCTCCTACCCCACGTTTCGAGCCCAGAAAGCGAAAGGGGGGGTTCTTCTCCAAGCAGCAGTAACACTCTCCCTCCATGCAAGTATTCCCGCCCCCTTCAGACTCACCGTCCCTCCTATGCGGAACAGGATCGCCCAGCCACCAGCAGCGAGCACCACAACAGCTCCCAAAATCCGTCAGCTCCGGAAAGAGCATTTATCCCCAGCTCCAGCCCAGCCCAGCAGGCTCTGATCCCGCCCCCAGCACCGCCCAGCTGCTGATTCATTTCACGTGATTTCAGCCCTGCCTTGGGAGGGGACTGCCCAGTGTCTGGAGAGTACCCTCTCTTCTTTTCACCCCTCCCCGGAGCTAAAAGTGTGACCCCCCCTAGCTCGCTCTGTCTGGGCGTAGGCCACTACACCTCTACCCAGAAAGAAACAAACATTGTTCAAATGCTCCTGGAGCCCTAGAAAGGTTTTGTCTTGGTTGGCTTCAGAAATGACTGAACTCAAGGCTGCTTTTCAATGCTATTCGAGTTGCTTCCTCCAGAAGAGAGCTAGATAAATGCTAGTTGAATGAATGAAGGGATGAAGGGGACTGTTAATTGACGGACAAAAGGCAGTCTAGCCAACTTTAGGTTAAAAGATGAGGCCTTTGTTCTTCAGTTCAATCAGTAAACATTTATTAAAGGCCTTCTATGTGCCAAGCTCTAGGGATACAAAAAGAGGCAAAAGACAGTCACAGCTCTCATGGAGCTTACAATCTAATGAGGGAGACAACATGCAAACAAATATGTTCAAAGCAAGCTATAAGGGGCAGCTAGGTGGCACAGTGGATAGAGCACAGGCCCTGAAGTCAGGAGGACCTGAGTTCAAATTCGACCTCAGACCAAACACTTGACACTTAATAGCTGTGTGACCCTGGGCAAGTCACTTAACCCCAATTGCCTAAGGGAAAAAAAAGCTATATACAGGAAATAATTTACAGAAGGAAGACACTGAATTGAGAGGGGTTGGGGAATGCTTCCTGTAAGAGCTAGGATTTTAGTTTGGATTTAAAAGAATACAGAGAGGTCAGTGTGAAGATCTCCACAGATGTGACTTGATATGGGAAATACCCTAGGAAACATTCCCTTGGATGCCACAATAAGATTAATATTAGCCAGTAAGAGTCCAACTTCCAGTCCAACCCTCTTTTCCTAACCCCCAAAGAAAATGAAGCCCGGAAAACTTAAGTGACTTGCCCAGGTCAATAAATAAATCAATTAATATGCTTTGCAGCAGCTAGGTGGTACAGTGGGTAGAGTTTGGGGCCTGGAGTCAGGAAGACTCATCTTCTTGCACTCAAATCTGGTTTCAGATACTTACAAGTTGTGGGACCTTGGGCAAGTCACTTAATTCTGTTTGCTTCAGCTTCCTCATCTGTAAAATGAAGTAGGGAAGGAAATTCCAGTACCTTTATCAAGAAAACTCCAAATGGTGTTAAGAAGAGCAAAACAACAACTTAGGTACTGGGTCCTGTGCTGGATTTATATGACATATGGGTGCTAGGCACTTTACAAATATCTCATTCCATCCACATAACAACCCTAGGAGGTAGGTAGTGTTGTTATCCCCATTTTACAGTTGACTAAACTGAATTAGACTGTTGAGTGATTTGCCCAGGGTCACACAGCTAGTGAGTATCTGAGACCAGATATGAATACAGGTCTCCTGACTCTAAACCCAGAGTTCTTTTTCACTATACCAGATTGCCTTTGTTTTCATAGGCATGTAGGTTTTAGAACTGGAAGGGACTTTAGAGATCTAGCCCTGATGTTTTTATGGGAAGAGAGAGCCAGAAAAAGGAAGTGATTTGCCCCAAAATCACACAATCAATCAATAAACATTTATTAATCCCTTGTTACTTTCCAGGCATTGTGCTAAGCACTTAGGATTCTAGCACTGGTGACACAAATACTGCCAATGTGAAGAATGGCAAAAAACAGTCCCTACTCTTAAGGAGCTTACATTCTAATGAGGAAAACAACATGTAAATAAATAGGTATATACAAGTTACATACAGAATGGTTGGAAGACAACCTTATGAGAGGTAAGGCTCCAGCATCTTGCACTCCATCTTGTGTGGGGTGTTTAAGGGGGACAGGAGGGTGAGTGAGTGTGTTGGGGTGGGAATCGGAAAGTTCTATACAGGTGGTTTAAGTAACTAGATTAGGATTTAAACCCAGGTTCTCCAACTACAAAACCAAAGCTCTTTCCAGCATCTACTTTGCCTCTTTTAGATAATTTCCTGCAAGTTCCTGGCCATTTAATTTGAGGCAATGCCTAATTTAAGCCTGACTCTAAGGATATAAAATGCAGATTGTCACTAACACAGATTTCATGCAACCTTTCCAGTCCAAGACTGTAAGACCTATTCAGTGTGCTGAAGCCCCAAGAAGGCTGACTTTGGGTTCAAATTGTGCCTCTGATATTTAAAGCCTTTATGATTGGGGGGAGGTCACTTTGTGTTAATGAATCCCCCAATAGACAGAAATGAACTTCCTGAGAGAAAAAGCAGTTAAGTTGTTACTATGTGCCAAGCACTGTGCTAAGGGATAGGAAGAAAAAAAAATACAAGCAGATACTTACCCTTAAGGAACATATTCTAATGGGGGAAGACAATACATAAAAGGGAGTTGAAAGCAGTAAGTAGGATGGAGTGAGGAAGGGTGAAAAGTAAAAACAAAAACAAAAATAAACTATCTCTGAAGTGGTTGAATTAGAGGACCCTTGAGGTTCATGCCAACTGTAAATTATACAGAATCTTACAACCTACCCATGGAGTATCTTTCTAATCTCCTGATTGATAGGATCAGATGGGTTGGAGATGGAAGTAAATGAAATGTGAGTAAAGGGAGAGAAGATAGGAAGGTAGAAAGGGCTTCAAACAGGAGCTTTCATTGACGGGATCCATCAGGCATTCACAGTATGACTCTCTTGAGCCATTTGGTGGGAAGGGAGACCTAGAGAAAAGGAGGGAGACAGAGAATGTCTTAGGAGTAACTACAATTCACAATGTTAGGGTTAAATGTAATCTGATCACAAACCCAAAAGAGTAGACCAGCAGTCATATAACAAGGGAGGGGTTTTGGGGTGAAGGGCACCTTATGAAATATCTAAGGACCTTTTTCTTTTTTGCAGGAAGGAAGCTCCAGGCCTTCCTCATCCCTACCAGTCTGTCAGCTTGTTGTCCCCAGAATAAATTCAGAGCTTCTTTAGAATTCTATTGGGTGGAGTTTCAAATTTGAGGAAGCACTCAAAATATGGCCCAGTTAGCCCTTCCTTATTCTTCCAGTTGGTCCAGCTGAAAGGAGCTAACAAGCCTATGCTGTACTTCAGTTTTATAATTTAAAATGCATTGTGTGCCATTGCTTTCTAACATCCAGCCTGCTTCTTGCCTCTAATAAGCCCAGCCAACAGAATTTTTTTTGTTGTTTTCTGGCAAAGGAAAGACAAGTTGATTTTCAACAATTAAAAGGGACTTTCTCTCTGAGTTGTTAAGGTAAATTTACTGAGAGGTGGGAAGTAGAGCAATGGAATTGGGCAATGGATAGATACCAGCTGACATTTAGCAATTTTACATAAAAAGTAAATAGCCTTTTAAAAAAGCATGTAAAATCTCCCTAGAAAGTATGGCTCATTGATAATTCAAAATAAATTAAGAAAGAAAGAAAGAAGGAAGGAAGGAAGGAAGGAAGGAAGGAAGGTAGGAAGGAAGGAAGGAAGGGAGAAAGAAAGAAGAAAAGAAAGTATGGCCCAGTGGAGTGAACACTGGCCTTAGAGTGAGAAGTCCTAGGTTCAAATCCTGATCCCCTAGGTTACAAGTGACATTTCCTCCATAACACATTGTATTTCTCTTATATGTTTATTATGGTTGTTTTGAATTATTGCTTTTTTTTGGTATCTACTACTCAATGCTCGTACAAGATTTCAAGATCTTTAAAGGTAAGGATCGTGTTTTACTTGTCTTCATAACTCCCTTGGTGACAGCAAAATGCTCTGCTTAATGTGTGAATTTTAATAAAAGTGTGAGTGAATTGTTATATCAAAGTCATAAAAAAATTGAAGTCATATCTTGACACTGTCCATTGTCCTGATGTGCTAGAGTCTAGAATGGTTGGAGAAAAGTGGCTGACTTTTATTCTTGGGCTTCAATGTCTTTACTACAGTCAGTCGTCAGATCAGTTACTCTTTCATACTGTATGTACTAGACAGCCAAACATGGAGCAATGAGTGGAAGTTTCAGAGAGGCAAATTGCCCCTTGATGTAGCAGGTAGGTGACATTGTAGATAGAGTGTGGGGTCTGCAATCAGGAAGACTCATCTTCCTGAGTTCAAATTTGACCTCAGAAATTAACTAGCTGTGTGACACTAGGCAAGTCACTTAACAGAAGCCATACACGAAATCCGCTTCTGATCAACAGAGATTGGCATCCCTATCTCTGACATCAAAGTACTCCAAAAATCCCCTTCCAAATGACCCTTTTTATATCTATGTAAACCAGGGAAAAATGATCTTGATATTTTGTTTTGTGTAGGTATCCTTGGTAAGCTTATGTCCAGGAAATGTACACATCTCTAACAAAGGTTGGGGCTTGATCAGAGCCCCAAATACCTGTTTGTGTGTAAGTCTCCAAGGAGCGATCAATTCCTTGGACAGTTACATACCTTTCTCAAGAAAAATGTTCCTTGAGATAAATTGCTTTCCCCCATAACATAGTTTGTTTGTTACTTAATGCTCTAGTCTCCTTGGTCCTGGCCATTCATTGGTAACTCTAATCTATCTTTATGTCCGGTCATGAGGTGGTTACACAGGGGGCTAGGGAGGATCTATACTCCTCAGTTTCCCTTACAACTTCACACACTGAAAGTAGACTCTAATTCCTCTTCCTCCAATTGACTGGTTCCTCCTAGAACCTCCATTTTAAGAAGGATACCTAGGCTACCCTTGTCATCATTCCTGTCCCAAGATGAAGGCAGGGATTTTCTTTCTTTTGGCTTATATTTATATCCCAGTATTTACCACAGTGCCTGACACATAGTAAGCTATTAATAAATGCTTGTTGACTTGACTTGCTTTGACTTCTTTTTTGACTTGACTTCTTTCAAGACTCAGTTTAAATGCCACCCTTTGTAGGAGGTCTTCCTAGGCCTTCCACCCACCCTAGTCTTCTTCTCTAAGGCTACTTTCCTTCTTTTCTATAAGTATGTTTTATGTTCCTATTTATTTATTTGTTGTCTCTCCTTAGTACAAAAGGTATTCAAGAGCAGGGCCTTTTCAATATTTTTGCCAACCTTGTATCCCTCATGCATAGCCCAGTGCTAGGTATATAGTAAGCACTTAATAAATGCTAGTTGACTGATTGATCAGTAATTATTATAGGCTGATCTAAATTGACTATAACCAAATAATTGTATCAGTGAGATAATAATTAGTTTTCAAACTAAATAAAGGTAAGATTAGAATATAAAATTATAATGAAACAATAAAGTAAATGCAGTAATACGTGAAAATTTGACTTAGTTATTATTTCCTACAGAAATGAGATTACCTAGCTGGGGTCTACCCTAAGTCAGCTGTAGCTTTAGAATGCTTATAGTTTTGACCATAGATTTATTTTGGCCTGGATTCCCACCTTTTTTTTTTTTCAATTAGTCCTTTGGTAATTTCACAGATAGCTGTGGGCAGAAGAGCAGAAACAGTGTGCATACATACCCAGTGTTCATACAGGACATTGTCATAGAATTTGAGAATTAGAAGGGACCTCTAGTGACCATCTACACCTGAAAAGAAATCCCTTCAACACTCTTAGACAATTGGCCAAGATTTTACTGGGTAGAACTAGAAACAACAGCTCAGGGGCAGCTAGGTGGCGCAATAGATAGAGCACCAGCCCTGTAGTGAGAAAGGCCTGAGTTCAAACCCAGCCTCAGACACTTACTAGCTGTGTGACCTTGGGCAAGTCACTTAACCCCAATTGCCTAAAAAAAAAAAAAGGACAAATAGAAACAACAGCTCATAGTTCCAAAGAGGCTAATTTAAACTTTCTGTTAGGAAAACCCTCCTGGCAAAATCAGAGCCATACTAAAGTGGACTGGGCCAGTTTGAGAGTGAATAGAGAGGGTTCTCCTTGTTGGAAGTATCCAGCAAAGACTGAATGAATACTTGTCTGGTACCCTTTCAGGTATGGGTTGGAATGTGTGGTAGCTGTGGTTCTTTCCGGAGCAGAATTTCTGTGATTCTGTCACCTTTGAAAAAGTAGTAGAAGGGACTATGAGTACATACTGAGGATTCTGAGTCCATAGTTTGCTCTTCTGCCCAAGGCTACATGCCTAAGATGCCAAAGGACTGACTAGTAGATATCAATACCAAAAAACATCTGTGTTGGAAAGTCCAAGTATCCTAAGGCTCCAGCTGGGTGGGGCAGACCAAGTTGTGAGGATCAGACAATTAAAGCTCAGTACATTGTAAAGGGCCCTACTCTTGTAGTCTGGATGGAGATGCTAGGAGGTATGAACCTGGGCAAATCATTTTACTTTCCTGAATCTCTGTTTCCTCAACAGTAAAATGGGGGTAAAATACTTGTACTAGCTACTTCATGGAACTATTCTGAGAAAAGTGCTCAAAGCACTATAGAAATGTAGAAGAGATTTGTCTGAGATCAGGAAAATGAGGTTTTGAACACAGTAGAGATTTAGATGTAGAAAGGAATTTAGATACCACGCAACCCCCTCATTTTTAGGATAAGGAAACTGAGGCCAAAGAGGTTAAGTGTTTTGCCCAACATCACTCAGGTAGTAAGTGGCAGAGCTGGAATTTGAATCCAAGTCTTCTGACTCATAATCTAGCATGCATTTCATTGTACCATACAACCTAATGATATATGAACGTAGCCATGTATGGAGGTTCTATGGAGGTTCCATTTACTTTTGACACTACTCCTTTACTTTCTCCCCATTTCTGGTAGTCCTGCTCTTTCCAGTCTTCTATTGCAATCATCAATACCATAAATATTTATTAAGCCTTTACTCTATGTCTAGTTCTTTGATCTCCAAATTGAAATAACCTTTTATGTAATGTACTTAAGGTGTTCTATTAATGCCCTCAAGAGAGATAGGGAATTTTGAAGAGAGGTGGGTTTATGGGGAAAGATGATGACTTCTATTTTGGACATGTTGAATTTGAATTCTGAGAGGATATCCACATAGAAATATGTAGAGATTAGGGATGGACATATAGATTTGAGATTATCTGCATAGAGATGATAATTGAACCAATATGCCCTGATGAGGTCACCAAAAGATAGAATGTAAAACAGGGGTTCTTAAACTGTGGTCCACTCACCCCTATGGGACTGTGGATTTCAGAAGATATGAGAATTTTTTTTAATATTTAGATAACTATTTCACCGTATTTTAGGCATTTAAAAACATTGTTTGTAGAAGGGAGTAAGCATTTATTAAGTGCCTGCTTTGTGCCAGACACTGGGCTAAGAAGCACTTTTCAAATATTATCTCATTTCAATCTCACTCTGTAAGTAGTATTATTATACTAATTTTATAGTTTAGAAAACTGAAACAGGCAGCAGTTAAGTGACTTATCCAAGGTCAAACACCTAGCTAGTGTCTGAGGCTATATTTGAACTCAGAGGTCCATAGGTTTCATAAGACTACCAGAGGAGTCCATGACACAGGTTAACAACCTCTAGTATGTAAAGAGAATAGGGCCCAATACAAAGGTTTTAGGATTTGCTTAGGGGAAATGGTGATTCAGCAAAGGAGACTAAGGAGTGGTCAAATAGGTAGAAGGAAATGCAAGACAGAACATTTCTTTAAAGTTAACTGATAAGAGAGTGTCCAAGAGGAAAGGATAGACAATAGTATCACAAGTTGCTGAGAGATAAAGAAAAACAAGAAATAAGAAAAAGCTATCACAAGTAACAGTAATGAGAAATAATTTGTATTCTTGCAGAGTAGTAGGGTCAGGAGCCAGATTTCAAGGGGTTGTGGTATAAGTGAGATGGGAAGATGTGGAGATAACCAGTATGGACAGATTTTTCTAGGGATTGGTCTACTTGTGGAAGGGATACACAATGTAGGATGATAGCTTGTGAGGTCAAGAAGTTCACATGAAGATTTTTTTTTTTTTGCTGCAGTTTGTAGGTAGTAAGGAAGGAACCAGGCAATTAGGAGAGACAGAAGGTGGGAAGACTTAGAGGGAGTGATTTGAGAAGGCAAGGAGACAGGAGGGGATTCAGATTAGACATCACATTTCTCACCATTCAAACACTGGGATCCACCATGACCATATTTCAAATCAATATCCCTTCTAGGTCCTGTGATTGTTGGATTGCCTTCCATTACATTGAGGACTCAGATATCAGACCTTTCCAGACAAGACCACCAAGATTCAGCCCAGGATGAGAGCCTCATCCCCACTTGAGTGAGAAAATAAAATCCACATTGGAAATGGGGCAGATAACTGAGCTTGCTGATTGTGAAGGTTGTGGCAATCTCTTGTCCTTTGGCTAGCTGGTTCTCTTCTTGTGGTCCCTGAATCCTTGTGAGTAGGAGTCTAGGTGAAAACTCCCTTCCCTATTACTTCAGAATTTGCTAAGCTTCATTTGAATCCGTTCCAGCTCTATCCCCTCAGGCTCTATCTGATCTTATATTCCCATTTCACTCTCAGGAATCTCTATTGTTAACAAACTTCCCCCCCCTTTTTAAAATTAAACCTCTTATTCCTTCCATATTTTTGAATTTTTGAAAATCAGGATCTTTCCAGAAAATTCTGCATCCCTAGTCATTCCCTCTGGTAGTGGCTATACCTTCTTTTATTAAATTAAATTAAATGAAAGCTTACCAAGTGCCAAGCTTTGGGGTAAATACTGAAGATAAAAAGACAATTGTTTCATTCTTGGTACTTGGATCACCCATGCCTGACACAGTGCCTGGCACATAGTAGGCACTTAATAAATACTTGTGGATTGAGTGCTCAACAGAAATTAAAGTCACTGTCCTCAAAGATTTAACATTTTTAATGTGGGGATAAAATGTGCTCATACATCTATTTGTGCACGTGTGTTTTCAAAATATGTATAAAATAGAAAGGGAAGTCATTGTGATTTTTTTTTTGAGAGGGGGTACCAGAAAAGACTGCATGACCCTTGAAATGAGTCTTGAAGGAAACCAGGAATTCTGAAAGGTGGTGATGAGAAGGGGAAAAAAAATTATAGACATGGGAGACAACTAATGCAAAAGCACAGAGATAGATGGAATGTATGTTGTTGTGGTCATTGTTGAGTCCTTTCAGTTGTGTCCAACTCTTTATGATCCCATTTGGGGTTTTCTTGGCAAAGACACTGGAGTGGTTTGCCATTTCCTTCTCCAAATACCATGTGTGGAAAACAGCAAATAGGCTTGACTTGATTGTAGTTTACAGATGGGGGTAATGTATAATATGACTGAAATGATAAGATGGAGCAAGGTTGTGAAGTGCTTTAAATGCCTAACAGGATTTTTATATTAGAGGTAATCAGAATCGCTGAATTTATTTAGTAGAAGGTGACATGGCCATACCTACATTTTGGGAGAAACTACTTCAGCATCTATATAGAGAATTAATTGGAGTGGAGAGAAACTTGGACAGGGGCACTAATTAGGAGGCTATTGCAATAATCTATTCCTAAACTAGGGTGTTGGTAGTGTGAGTAGAGTGAAGGAGACATATTAGAGAGACATTATGAAAATAGAAACAAGATTTGGTAATGAAATATATGTGTGGGGAGAATGAAGAGTAGAAGATGACAGAGGTCGTGAACCCACCTGACTGGAAAGATGGTAGTAACCTTGAAAGTAACACAGAAGTTCAGAAGAGGAGTAGGTTTGGGGAAGTAAAGATAATGAGTTCAGTATTGGCCATGATGAATTTGAAATGCCTGTGAGACATCTAGCTTGAAATGTCCAGTAGGCAGTAGGTGAATCTGGATCTGAAGAAAAAGATGAGAGCTGGGTGTATAGATATAGGAGTCAACTGCATAGAGACAGTAATTTAACTCAGAGGAGGTCACCAAGTGAGAGGAAATAGAGAGAAAATAGAAAAAGACCTACAGAAGAGACAAGAGAATTCCAGAGTTAGTGCCCCTGGGGCAAGAGGAAGAACTGAAATATTCCTTGTTTCTCATGGACACTTCTAGACTCTTCCTCTGATTCAATCACTGAACAACTTTGTCTCCTTTAAGGTTCACTTGATTTCTCTATATCATCCTATGCAGATCTACTGCACTTTTCTACTTTTTTCTTAAAGAGTCTAGGGTATGATTCACAGTATTCCTCTCCACCAAACCTCTGCCCTCATACCTACTATCACTAAGCACTTTTTACTTGGTATATATTTTATATTCACTTTTTTGTGATAATAATAATAATAGTATTTATATATCAACACTTTGGGGCAGCTAGGTAGCACAGTGGATTGAATGCCAGTCCTGGAGTCAGGAAGATTACTCTTCCTGAGTTCAAATCTAGCCTCAGACACTTACTAGCTGGGTGACCCTGGGCAAGTCACTTAACTTTGTTTGCCTCAGTTTCCTCAACTGAACAACAACAAAAGTGACTAGATGCTATATGCTGGGCTAAGTGCTTTATAAATATTGTTTCATTTTATCATCACAACAACCCTGGGAGGTGGGTGCTATTAATATCCCTATTTTATAGCTGAGGAAACTGAGGCAAACAGAGGTTAAGTGATTTGCCCAAGATTTTTATTGTTCAGTCTTTTCAGTCCTGACTGATTCTTAGTGACCCCATCTGGGGTTTTCTTGGCAAAGATACCAGAATGGTTTACCATTTCCTTCTCTAGCTCATTTTACAGATGAGGAAACTGAGGCAAGCAGGATTAAGTGACTTACCCAAGATTATACAGCTAGTAAGTATCTGAGGCCAGATTTGAAATCAGGGCTTCCTGACTCCAGGCTTGGCACTATATCTGCTTCACCACTTAGCTTTCTGTGTTCGTATTATATTCACCAAAGTAGAATGTAAGCTCCTTAAAGACAGAGATTTTCATTTTAGTATGTATCCCCAGGGCCTAGCCCAGTGCCTTATGTGCAGTGGTGCTTAAGAAATGCTTACAAATGAATGAAAAATAGTAATTAAATCAAATTCAGAAAACATTTGAAACTTAAAAAAAATAGTTCCTACCTTTAAGGATCTTACATTATGCAAGGGTGATACAAATGTTTATGTGTAAATGCATAAGTAAATCCAAAGTATTTTTCAGGGTGAATGGAGAACATTTAACCACTGGAGAAATTAGAAAAATTGTCATGTAGGAAGTGGAACCTCAACTGAGCTTTAAAAAAAGATAAGGATTCCAAAAGATAGAAGTGAGAAGGTAGAAGACATGGGGGGTGGGTGGAGGGGTTGGTAGGTGAGAGATGGAATGTTGTGGAAGGGGATTAGCAAATAGGCCAGTATGACTAGTACACAAGGAGAATAATGGTAGAAGTCTTGAAAGAAAGGCTGGAGCCAGATTGTGAAGAGCTTTATTTTTTTTTAATTTAGGTTTTATTGATGTGTTTTGTTTCCACATTATATTACAGACATTTACAGATTACCCTTATTCTGTTAGAAATTTCTTCAAAGTAAAGCTAATAATATGACGGTGTCATCTGAAAGTGCATACAGCATTCTATCTCTTTATTTAAAAAAAATCAAAATAAATGTATTTTTCTTCCTTCTGTCTCCCACACTATTGAAAAAAAATGCCTCATAACAAATATGCATATTGATAAATTCCCTCATTGACTGTATATGGAAGTAGATGTCTCATGTGTCCTCAATCTATCAACTCTGTCAGAAGGTAGATAGTAGGTTTCTACTGTTGAATCTTGGATGCCACTGTATTGATCATAGTTCATTGATCTTTCAAAGATGTTTGTCTGGACAATTTTGTTGTTATTATATAAATTGTTCTAGTTCTGTTCATTACATTCCTCATAAGTTTATATAAGCCTTGAAAATTGTTGGGTTTTGTAATTATATTGATTTTTTGGTATAAATTGTTCCCAATGAGAGAAATGATTATTTCTCTCATATCAATAACTAATTGTAGAATCAGAACCAAGGTTTTGGTCCTTTTCTACCTCCTCATCTAGAAATCAACCAGTGTGGGAGATCTTGCAAAAAACTTATGCAGGCTAAGATGTGATCAGACAGTAAAAGAAATCATAAGCTTAGGCTAATGGAAGGATTCCTGCTCATTTGTTTTCTCAGACATGTCTGGAAAATGTGTATCCTCCCTTTTGTCAGACAAATGATATGGAACTTGTTAAGTCTCTTGACCAAGACTTGGGTGATCGAAATCAGGTACCTTAATACCTTCATTAGAATGAGCCCACATTTTATTATAATATTCATTTTCTCATTAATTGTTAACCAATCAGAGTTTATTGTCACCCTCAGGAAGAACCACTCTTCCAAGAGCATATAAACTGTGAACCCACCACCATGAGGGGTCTTTGGCCTCTGAGAGTGCCACTGACCTTTTATTAAAATGCTAGCATTATTAATAAAATGACTACCTAGAAATTATGTCTGCCAAACTTTTAAAATGTCACACCAAGTTCTGCTTACTTCACTCTGCACCAATTCATATACATTTTTCCATATCTCTTTGAAATAATCTATTTCTTTATTTCTTATAGCACAATAGTATGTTATCATATTAATATACCATAGCTTATGCAGGCATTCCTCAGTGGATGCGCATCCCTTTAGACTCCAGTATTTTTGCCACCAGAGGAAGAACATATTTTATTCTAGAGGCAATTTAACATTTTTATCAGTTACTTGGATGATGCTGAAGATAATATGCTTATAAATCTGCAAAAGATACAAAAATGGGAGACATGCTGGATGATAAAGTCAAGTTTCAAAAAAAAATCTTGTCACATTAGAACATTAGGTGGAATCTAATGAGATTTTATTTTATAGGGACAGATGTAAAGTCTTGCATTTGGTTAAAAATATTCAACCCCAGAAGTACAAGATGGGGAGCAATAGTTATAAAGCAGCTTGTCTGAAAAAGATTTGGGGGGTTTAGTGGCCTTCAAGTTCAATATGAGACCACAGTGCAATCTGGCAGCCAAAAAAACCTCATTCTTTCTTGGGCTGCATTAAGAGAACCAGAACTTCCAATGAGGAGATGGTAGTCTGTTTCTACTCTTCCCTAGCTAGACCATATCTAGAGTACTGTATTCAGTTCTAGGTCTTCTTCATATATGGGGGTGGGGGAGGGAAAGGGGGATGGTCTCAGATGCTATGGAAACAGTTCCTACTTATGCTACTTGATTCTTATATCATAGGAAGAATCAGTCCTCATTTCTCCTCTTCCTGCACAGCACTAGGGTATCCATGTTAGCATGTCCCACTGAATGTTAGGGTTCAGAGGGTCATCTTTCTCTCGTCCTATGTGTCTCATTATCTACTATTTTTCTCTGGGGCAGCTCCTCTAGTTTCATGGTATAGTACATAGAATATTGGACCTGTATGGCCTTGGGTGAGTCCTTTCATTTCCCTGGGCCACAGTTTTCTCAGCTGTTACAGACAAGCCTGGGAGCTGCAATTTCCATAGTGTAGGGAACAAGGAAAACTCCCTCTACCCACAGGTTG